GTAATATTCCATTGTCTGGATGGAGCACAATTTGCTTACCCACAACTAGGTCTGGCAGCTGTGAATAAGCTGCTGCAAATGGGTGTGGGCAGGTATTTGCATGGATAGAGTTTTCACCTCCTTTGGGTAAACACTGAGGAGTGTGATTGCTGGCTCATGTGGTATGAGGAGGTTTAGTTTAGTTTTTTGTTTTTTTTTAAAGAAACTGCCAAACTGTCTTCCAAAATGACTGGACTAGTTTGCATTCCCACCCACAGGGAGAGAGAATTCCTGTGGCCCACATCCTCACCAGCATCTGGTCTTATCAGTGTTCTGGATTTCAGCCATTCTGTTAGGCGTGTTGTGCTATCTCATTGCTCTTTTATCTCGTATTTCCCTGGTGACATTTGATGCGGAGCATCTTTTCATATGCCAACTGGCCACCTGTACATCTTCTTTGGCCCACTTTAAAATTGGGTATTTTTTTTCTCTTTTCTGATTGTTAAGTTGTAAGAGTTCTTTCTGTATTTCGGATGACTGTCCCCTATCAGATGTGTTTCTTGTGAGTGTTTTCTGCCAGTCTGTGGCTTATCTTCTAGTTCTCTTAATATTGTCTTTAGCAGGGAAGTTTTTAATTTTAATGAAGTCCAGCTTATAAATTCTTTCTCTTACAGATTGTGTTGCTGTTTTATCTAAACAGGAATAATCACATCCAAGGTCATTTATATTTTCTCCTATGTTGTCTTCTAGGAGTTTTATAGTTTTGTACTTCACATTGAAGTCAATGATCTGTTTTGAGCTAATGCTAGTAAAACGTACGAGGTCTGTCCAGAAAGTATCGAGCCATGCAATAAGTAGAGACTTTTATTGAAGAAGATACAAAATACAAGAAATGATGTACGAAGGACAATGACACCTCAGTCCACTTTAAAGTAGGCATCTTGGAACCTCACACAGTTCTCCCAGTTGCTATCAACTAACTGCCCCATTGTATTTTTCTGAATCTTACCAACTATCTGAAATCTCCTTCCTTTCAAAGGTGATTTTAGTTTCTGGGAAAAGCCAGAAGTCACAGGGCACCAAATCTGGGCTGTGGAGGGGCCGAGTTATCTGGGTGAGTCGATGTTTCACCAAAAAAACTCTGCGTGAGATGTGATGCACGAGCAGGTGTGTTGTCAGGATGAAGCTGCCAATCACCAGGTGCCCATAGATGCAGCCTTCTGAGTCATCTGAATAGTTTCTGTGGAGGAATGTTCAAGCTTAACACAAAATTTGATGGAGATTCACTGCTCTACTCGCTCAGTCATCTTGAATGGGACGGCCACACAGTACACACGCTCACTCAGTGGTGTCTACCACCCCACTAACTAGTACAGTGAAGTCATCCTTGTTCACGCATGCGCATTCCAGTCAACTCTCCTTGGCTGCCAGGTTACATCGATGTTGTGCAAACAGTTCATGTTATATTAACAATGGCAGGACTTTTTTCTGGACAGGCCTTATATAAGATCTGTGTCTAGATTCTCCCTCTCCCTCTCCCTCTCCCTCTCCCTCTCCCTCTCCCTCTCCCTCTCCTCTTTGCATGTGAATGTGCAGTTGCTCCAGCACCATTTGTGAAGAAACTGTCTTTGCTCTACTGTGTTCTTTGCTCCTGATCAGAGCTCAGCAGACTGTATTTGTGAGGGTTGTTTCTGGACTCTCTGTTACGTGTCAATGATCTATTTGTTGATTTTTTTAAAGTACTATACTACCTTGATCATTATAGCTTTATGGTAAATTTTGAAGTCACATTTAATCTCTTTTAAATGATAAAAAAAATCAGATCCCCAGCAAAGCAGCCACGAGTACTTCAGCAGTCAGAGGGGGAAGGAGACACTGGGCCACCGAGAGCTGCTTTTCTTATTAGTCTTCGCAGTGGTGGAACTGGCCCAGACTGGCTTGCCAGGGCCGATGATGCCCATCTCTCCGAACCCCGTGTCAGCGACATCACATTGGTATCTTCAGATTGCCCCACGGGGTAGCATTTATACCACAGAAATTGGCAAAGGCTGCCAATCAGGATTAGTTGGTTTTTCTTCAGAGGACTGGTCGTCCAACATGAAGCAGCAAAACGCTGGTTTTACATCTCACTTGCTTCTCCTTCAACACTTGCTCTTCACATGCCTTCTCAGCACCGTAGTTTGTGTTTCTTAGTCACTTAGTATCAGTTAGGTACTGTGCGAAGATTTTTCACAGTAACCTCATGAGGTAGGTCTTCTGTGATCTCGGCGTATGGTTGAAGGATGCTGAAGAGCAGACCAGTGATGCACAAGTTTCATTTACAGGTGCAAATCTGTAAATTACAGGTGCACCTGTAGATTACAGGTGCGATCTACAAATGAGTACACTGAGGCTCAGCAAGATGATACATTTTTTTTCCGAGGTCACCCAGCATGTCAGTGGGGGACTGGGGACTGGCGCCTCTGGTTGAGTCCTGCTTGTAACCACCATGCGTGGTGTCATTCGCACCACAGCCAACTCTCCTGGGCTCCCAGTGGTGGCGCCTTGGTTCTTTCTGCACCCAGCCTGACAGCAGACCTCTGAGAGCCTCGGAGTCTTCATCTGTGTGATAAGGCTGGCGATGCTCGTCTTGCCTAGCTCAGAGGATGTCTTACTGCTTGAGTGATAGTTTACACAAGGTTGCTTTGGAAAGCTCAAGTACTGTACACAGGTGAGATATCATTCCATGCTAAGAAGTGAAGGAAGAAATATTTATAAAAAGAACACCATGTCCCCGTTTAGAAGATTCAGCCGAAGTGGGCATTCTATATAAACACAGGTTGTAAGATAGACTATAGCAGTGTTTCTGGGTGACCTGGCAGAACCTCTGATCTGGGGTTGTCTAAACTTACCGCTTGGGATACTCGGGACTCAGGTCTCCGTGACCTTCCCAGACGGTCTGACCAGGAAGCAAGGCAGGCTTAGCATCAAAGGCAGGTTTGGGTGGCAGATGTTTTCTAGGAATCACATCGCGAAGGGGGTGGCTCAGTGCTGGATCCTCGACACTTAGTCACTTTAGGGAGAATTCCTGCCATATTATGTTCCTATTGTAATGAAGAGGCTTATCGCTACTTACACTTTGAACGGTGAGTGTGTTTCATTGCAGTTGTTTATTAGGCTGAGTCTTCTGCACTGCACAGAACTTTCCATGATTTCAAACACACACTGGGTCACTGTAGAAACCCCCAGCGCCCAGTGTGGGGGTTGGCAGTGGGTGCTGCTTCATAGGTGTCTGCTGAGCCAGCCTGTGGGTCCTCTTGTGCGGCTCACGTGTCTCTCGTGCCGCAGCCGGCCATCTGCAAACTTTGGAAAGCTCCTCAGATGTCTTAATCCCAGTTGGACCAAGCATGCAGGGCAAGGCCAGCAGCCGTGGGCGTTTCATACAGAGTATGCTGCGTACTCTCAGGATATCAGAAGCATTTGGTGGGAGCACAAAAACCTCCATGTGTTTCATCTGTTGTACAGCACAAGCTCCCTACTATGTTATATAAAAGCTACCTTGACCTCTCTTACCCCAGGTACCTTTGTCCCTACTGTCCCCACTGTGGGGAATGATCCTCTGTAATTCTTTGGCCTGGCCAGCTCTTACATACTCTTCAAGATTAGGTTTGGGTCTCGTCCCCTCCCAAAGTCCTCTCTGGTTTGTGGGTTGAGATTCGGCTGTGTTCTCACCTATGTCTCTGTTGACCTGAGTTCTGACGTTATACTGAAGTGACCTTCCATGTTTCTTACCTCCCCCTGAGACTTCTCAAGGGCAAAGACCAGAGGAGTGTCCATGTCGGGCGAGCCAGTAAATGTTTGAGGAACTGAATTCACTGGTTCCAAGTGGAATTCCTTTTTCCAGGAGGAGCGTGACAGGGAGATGGAATGCGAACCCTTTGTGATTTCGTAGAACAACGGCCCTTCAAGTGACTAAACAGGGTTCTCCCTTCCCTCCCGTGAGGGGTGAATCTTGGAGCTTCCTGGTTGTAGGTTCCACTTGGTGGCTAAATCTGGGTTTGTCTGAGCAGACTGCAGTTCTAGTCTAACTGCAGACTGGGCTATTCAGTCCTACCACAGAGGAGAATCGAATAGTTCTCCATTCACATCCTGCAGATGAGGGCAGTCACAGGAGCTGTGCATTTGATGAGAAGGTGGACTCACAACCAGAGGTGGAAGCATTTAAGGCTGGGTTCCCTTCCTACCTGTGGTCACATTGTGCCTAAACTGCTCTTTCCTGTTGCCAAGTTTTTAATGATCTAATTATCTGCAGGCATTTCTTGCTTTGTTTATTCAGTTGGACGTAAAAGTCTCATGCCTGCATTGAGCAAGGGGGTAAAGTAGTGGGTGGTGAGCATCTTTATCTATCTGGGCAAGTTCTGCTCTGCACCAGGGTGAGCATCAGGGGTTATAAAATGGTCATTGTTACAAGTCACTTGACTGAGGCAGTGCCATTTTGCCCACTCTGGGGAACTACTGTTCTTTATGGATGGGTGTCCTTGGCCTGAGAGAGCCACTGGAGGGGACAGTGGGCAGGGGCTGGCATCCGGGCTGTGACTTCTCTCCGACGGGACTCTCTGATCCATCAGCTCCTTGTTCTCCCCAGGAGAATCATCTTTTCAATATTCAGCAGAGAAAATGACTTTTTGAGGAGACGGGAGATCATTATCTTTTGTAAAAACTATAACTGTCCTTGTGGCTTTGAGGGCAAGGAAGGGGACAAGGGCCAGGAAGAGAAGGCATGGATTAATGTCAGCATAAACAACATTTGTATAGAAATACCAAAATGAGTTCAGAACCCCAGAACCTCAAGTCAGGGACAGAGGTTGCCAGAACGGTGTGATAAGGGCTACTGGACAGGCATCTCAGGTGGGGAATTTGTATCACTTCACTTTTTCCCATGAAAAACCTTCATGCCTGCTACTCACATGGGTTTTCTCCTCCCTTTCTCTATCCCCCTTTGTACCTGGCATTTCTCCCCCCGATCCTTCCTTCTTTCCCAGGTTTGTTTGACAACTGCTCCCACACCGTCAGTGACAAGGGCTGGGCCCTGGGGATCCGCTCAGGGAAGGACATGGGAAGGCAAGATGCTCGCTTCTTCTTCTCCCTTCGCACCGACCGCGTGAAGAGGGCCACCATCGTGACTGGCCACAGTCGCTACCAGCCAGGCACGTGGACGCACGTGGCAGCCACTTACGATGGACAGCGGATGACCCTGTATGTGGATGGCACTCAGGTGGCTAGCAGTCGAGACCAGTCTGGTCCCCTGAACAGCCCATTCATGGCATCTTGCCGTTCTTTGCTCCTAGCGGGGGATGGCTCTGAAAATGGGCATCATTTCCGTGGACACTTAGGCACACTGGTCTTCTGGTCAACGGCCCTCTCACAAAGCCACCTCCAGCACAGTCCTCAGCATCCAAGCGGGGTGGATGAGTTGACCACCCTGGTGCTGACCGCCACTTTTGAGCCCCTGGAAGAGCAGTGGGTCCCTTTTAGAGATGACACGTACCCACGGCTTGAGGTTCTCCAGGGCTTCGAGCCCGAGCCCGAGACTCTGTCACCTCTGCAGCCCCCACTTTGTGGGCAGACGGCGTGTGACAACGTGGAGCTGATCTCCCAGTACAACAGGCATTGGCCCCTACGAGGAGAGAAGGTGATCCGCTACCAGGTGGTGAACATCTGTGACGACGAGGGCCTGAACCCCACCGTGAATGAGGAGCAGATCCGCCGGCAGCACCAGGCGCTCCATGAAGCCTTCGGCCGCTACAACATCACCTGGCAGCTGAGCGTCCACCGGGTCCACAACTCCACCCTGCGCCACCGCGTCATGCTCGTCAACTGTGAGCCCAGCAAGATCGGCAATGACCACTGCGACCCCGAGTGCGAGCACCCACTCACGGGCTACGACGGGGGTGACTGCCGCCTGCAGGGCCGGTGCTACTCCTGGAACCGCCGGGATGGGCTCTGCCACGCGGAGTGCAACAACATGCTGAACGACTTCGACGACGGGGACTGCTGCGACCCCGCGGTGACAGACGTGCTCAAGACCTGCTTTGACCCCGACTCGCCCAAGAGGTGAGTAAGGGACCGGGGTGTGGGGAGTCCTGTCGGTGTGGTGCATTCGTAGCATCCTTCTATCCTCTCGGTTTCTTGGAGACATAAAAGGGTTCACACAGCTCCCAGATGCAACGTGCCTCTGTCCTCCAGACATTATTGTGCTTTTGTGAAGTAGTAGGTGTTGTGGTAAGTAACTAGGGACACAGAGATGACTGGGACGAGGGCCAGCCCTCACAGGCAGCTGTGTATGTGGTGTGAAGTGCTCCTGAAGACATGCACCAGGTGTTGAGGCACCCGAACAACCTAGCCTACAAGAAGAAGCCAGGGGACTGTCGCAGAGAGCAAATGAGGTAGATGGCATTCAGCACTCTTCTGTCCTCAGGTTCCCCAGAAGTTACAGGAAGAGGCCTCGCGTGTGCTTGGTCTCTGGTGCAGGCTGAGCAGTTCACCTGCTTTGTGGACGGACACAGGATGTTGCGCGTCTTGCCTCTGTTTCCTTTAGGACTGGGGGCTCCTCACTGGCCCCATTACATTCCCTTCTCCACACAGCATCCAGAAGGAGCCTTTGTAAAAGGTGTATCAGATCCTGTCGTTCCTTCTTAAAATGTCCCCCACTGTGCCTAGAATAGAATGCAGACACTTTGCCTGGTTCAGAGGCAGGCCCTTGCCTACCCTCCAGCACCCTCCCCCCTACCCTCCTACCCTCCCTGCACAGCTGTCCTGGCCTCGTCTGTCCCCTCTCCCCCATCCCTGCCTCAAGGCTTTTCATTAGCTGGTTTATCTTGGAATCCTCTCTTTCTTGAACTTCCCTTGGTGGGTTTTCTTTTGTCATTCCAATATCTACTTAAATGTCACCTCCTGGAGCAACCTTTCCTGATCTCCCAATTTAAATCAGCTGATCAATCATTATTACATCAACTAATTGTAATTCTCTCTATTATACGTATCACTTCCAGTGTTTTTCTTGTGCAATCATGTATTTATCTTTCCCCAGCTCTATGAAATCAGGGCCCTTGTTGACCCTGATGCTCCCAAGGGCCCAGAACAGCCGCAGACCTTCCTGCCTGTTTATCTCAAGTTCATTGAAATGAATGAGTGGGTCTGGGGTGTCTACCGTGGGCCAGAAGCCAGCGAGAGGATTTCCACCGCATGGTCCGTGTGAGGGTTGGGGAGCGTTGGAGGGAAATAAGAAAGGAGGGAGGTGGGTGGTAAACTTGTCAATTTGTGTATGTGGGCAAATCCTCCCCACTGCATAACTGGTACCACTGTACAAATGATAAAAAGGCTCACACCTGAGCTGTAGAGTCGGTGGGAGGACTGGCAGTTTCTACTGGGTACTGAGATGGCTGCCTTTGTGTGTGTTGGCCACCATGTGTATGGTAATTCAGTCAGTGAACACCAGTTCATAGCTTTGCCTGTGGTCCAGGCATGTGGTGTCAAGGACTGAGTGTAAGATTTGGAAGCAGGGGACACAATTGAATTCAAGAGGCCTCACTGCTTCATTTGCTGATGTACAGGTGTGTACAGGGTGGGTGATCACGTGTTTGTGTTACTGGCACCCTCGGGTTGTCCTGTGAGTCGGATGAACTAAGGGACAGGGAAGTGCTTGCTAATTCCCGAGTTTTCAATGCCCCAAATAGTCCTAAACGAACATCGGTTGCTGTTACCATTAGGAGAGCTGACAGATGGGGAGGCCTTTGTTTACATAGCAACATTGGGGAACTGATCACATTACCAGACATAGTCACATAAGAAAGATTCTGTTTGGGTTTGGTTATTAGATTTTGATAACCTTAAGCAGAAGCTGAACCTCACTAAAAATACTGGTTGCCAACTCTTAGGATCTCCAGAATGGCAGGGAAATCGGCTTGTTCCCGTCTGTCTGCTAGTCTGCTAGTCTGCTAGTCTGCTGCCCAACCAGTTGGCTGTCTGTCTCTCTTGGTGGCAGCTTCATTCTCCTGAGTGTGGCCCCCTGTTCTCTGAATCCGTGCGGTCAGAGACCTCCTCCAGGTCTCTGTTTGTGACTCACTCCGCTTGCTGCCATCGTTGGCATCGCAACTCATCCCTTTCTGTCTGTGGACCCAAAAGGGTCTCAGACCTTCTCATCCCTACAAGCAAAACTTGCCTTGTGGAATAAAAGGAGCTACTTATATTTTTGATAGTTAAAAATATTTAAATCAAAGTAATAAATGCTCATGGCGAAAAATATCAAGTTGGATCAAAAAGTGTAAAGAAGAGTGATAATCCCCTGCTTAACTCTTACCCCGTCCTTCTCCACTCTCCAGCCTTGCACCCACATTTAATTGTTTTACTTGTCTTTTACGGTAATTACCTCCGTGTCTCCAAATATTGTGTGACTTGATCCATCCACTTTAAATGTTATGCATCGATTTGCTCTCACAACAATAAAGACGAGACTAACTCTCCCATTGTTTCCTGCTTTTCTCCTCCTCCTTTTCAGCATCCTTATTGTACTGTTTTTAGTTGAATCAGTTATATTTACAATGTCATCGCTATGAAATATTGTTTGTTGTTGTTGAAGAACAAAGTATTATTTTGTCGTTAGGTGTTCTTTCCTGGCATAGCTTTTCCCCGCCCTCTCTCTACTCCCTGAGTCTCTGTTCTCTCTCTCCCTCCCCCCCCATCTTCTGACCCTTTCACTTCTTCCCTCCTTCATCCTCAATTGCTTTTGCATTTTTTTCTCTCCACTTTCAATCTTTCTCACTGCTGCACAGTTTTCATCCTGGAACTTCTCTCTTTTTTTTTGGATTGAAACCACTGTGTCCTGAATTGCATGACTGTCTCTTAATTTACTACCTTGTTTCTCTAGAAAACATCCTTAAGTAACTTTCTAAGAAAGGGTGTTTTTTGGTGACTTTTTGAAATGGATTTTGCACAATGCTTTTATTTTGCCTTTACACAATACTGACCATTTTTCTTGGTGTAAAATTTTGGATTGTAAAACAGCTTTCAAATTTTCGCATAAATTTATTCATTGCCTCTGGCTTCCGTGCTGATAATTGCATACCTTTTTAAAAGTGGGCTATTTTTTCTTTTAAAAAGTATTTAGAATGTTAGCCTTAGCCTTGTTATTTTAGGGATATTACGGCATGTATTTTTTAGCATTGGACTTTTTTTGTTGTTGAGTATTCAGTTCCAACACTCATGTCCTTCGCTGCTGGCAATTTCTGTTAGATTAATACTTTGATTTTTACAAAGTCATTTTTTTCTGATCTCTGTTCTACCCCAAATCTCCTGAGGATGGATCTGCTGAATTTATTCTGTTTTTTTTCCCCCTGTCATATGGTCTATCTCTGTTATTTTGTTCAGTTTTTTTTTCTTTTGGAGAGTTCCTTGAGTTTATCATCCAACTCTTCTGTTGAATTATTTTTATTTTAGCCATCGCATATGTAAGACCTTCTTTGACTTTCTGTGTTAATCTATTTTTATTTATAAGGATTTATAATCTATAAGGATGCAACCTCATTTGATGCTAAAAACGAGACCCATTCTGATTTTTTTAGGTGCACTGTGTCAGGTTGGCAGGTAGTCAGCTTTCTCCCCCCGCCCATAATTCCTGCCTTTCTTTTATGTTGGAGGATTTCCTCAAGTGTCCAGTGCTTGTTCAGAGTGAGAAGCACACTGGTACATTTATGCTTATGATGAACTAACAAGGGTAATTATCTCTGGATTTCCTCTTTTGGAGGAAGAAATCTGAAGGCAGAACATAGTGGAGAGAAGTTTTCTCATCCCTAAATCCCTTATATTTATTTCATTAAGGAATAATGAAAATATTCCTTAATGAAATCTTCCCCTCCCCCATCCTCTGCCTTGTAGTCATTGTGGTGAGTTTTATTATTAAAAATATTGAGTGTTTTTCATAACTCTTTTTGGCAAGTACCATATTTTGAAAAACAGTTATTCTCATGTTGTGCCAGATACAGTAAGCAGAGGGACAAATTAAAAAAACAAAAAACAAAGAGTAAGTGCTAACAACTAGCGGAGGGGGTTGGTTACTTCATGTACATTCCCTGGGTTTAAACCCAGGCCGAGGCACTAAAACAATGTGGAGCATAGACTGAGTTTCGGGGCTGCAGCTCGGATCAGCAGAACCAGCTCTGGGTTCACGGAGACATGGACCTAGAATTTGGTGAGGGCCATTTGGTGGTCTCTGAACTGAATCGCCCCTATACAGCATCCCTGCTATTCCAATTAAATCACAAAACTGAAACTCACAACTCCATTATACCGAGACTCTGAAGGGCCTTCAGCTTCAGCAAATGTTTGCTGGATATTCATGGAGAAAAACCAAGGGTGCCAGGCACCGAGTCCTTCTGTTCAGAAGGTCACAGCTCAGTGCGGGTGGTTGGGAGGTGGGCACTGCACCCACAGGTAGATCACTAACATGCAGCTACAACGATTGGTGTAGGAGCCACTGACCCCATTCCAACGTCCCCGCTTTCCCAGCCCCGCGAGAAACCAGAAATGTAGCCCAAAGAAGCTCCTCTCCCAAAGGCGCAGAGGAGGAGAGAGCCTGAAGAATCCAGCATCAAACATCTGTAACCCAGATGGGCCTATCAAAGGGAGAGTATTTCTCAGACTTGGGACTGGTCAAGAGATGTAAATTACAGACATGTCACCCAGCCAGTTGGGCAGTGTTACTGAGATAGAGGAACTTGGCCGTGGGCAGGGAGGCTACATAGGCCAGATGTCTGTTTCTCCAGAGCAGCTGCCCTAAGAGAGGGTCTGCAAGAACTGAGGAAGGAAGGGACTCCATCAGAGGACAGTCACAAATGTCACTGGGCACTCCTGTGACACATCCTAGGACGGCAAGCCAAGGGACTCTCTCTGCCCTCAGGGAAACTCAGTTCTCCTGACCCTGGGAGACTTTGGCTTCTTTTTGGTTGTGAATTGTTCCTGTTGTTTTTCTTTCTGAAACGATGTCTCAGAGGTGACGGGTCCTTTGCTGCTGAACCGACTTTCCATCCCTTGCTCCTCCTCTCCTTCCCCATCAGAGT